GAAAAGTTATCGCATGACAAAAACCAAGAACATATGCATGCAGATTTTTTTTTTCGTATACTTTTGCTTTGTTTTCAGTGTGTATTTTTCATCTTGCATACAAAGGCAGACATTTTACAAAAACTCAAAGTCACACGTTGGTTGTTTTCATACATATTCCACAGAGAGAGAGCGATAGTGTCTGTCAGGCGGTCACTAATGAGATGAATGAGGAGAATGTTTAGACGCTGACGTTGTTTCACAGCTGCTTTGTGCCTCCCAGACCCATTTGACTGAAGAGGCTCTGACTAACACTGATGTCACTGAAATGTAAAGCCCAGTTGGTTTGATAGAACTGTGGAGTTTGGATGTAGTTTAACTCAACAGTAAAGGCTTGTTCAGATGCAGCGTTCCAACAAGACTGAACCATCTGGAGGTGTTTTCCTCAAGACATTCCTAAGACTACCGATTGTTTCCATTTCTTTTGGACTTAAAGGTGAATTTAATTTCTGCTATGAATAAATGGGGATAAAATGGAACTTACTGATCCATTATTGTCACATGACTGGCAGTGTGCTAGCTTTGATTAAGTCAAGAACAGAACTGTTTGGTACTTAGGTGGTTGTTGGAACACTAGCTATGTTGACACATGCACAATACATTGAATCATGAAAATTATTTTTCATAATGAAAATGGCAATTGAAAAGGCAACCAGTCACAGTAAGCTGCGGTGGAATAATATTCCTTTTTTTTTTTTTTTTTTAAATTGTTGCAAATTTTTTGCTTGTCTTCGTGCCGTGATGAATTCATTTTTTTTCTTCTTTTTTTTCATTCAAGACAAATGTCAATGGTTGCATGTGACAGACATTGGACTACAACGTCCAGAGTGACTGGATAGGTTGTTAAGTTGTGCACATGAAAACTGCTCCATCAGCAGGTAGAAACGCTTCATGAAATGAATCCTTAGTGTAGAACCGTAACTAAAGTAAACGAAAAAGGCTGTAATATAATGCAGACACAGTGAGACGGTCATCGCAAAGTTTTTCTCGTCTATCTTTGGTCGTGAGACCTTGACTAAGGCCACGTTTGAACCTCTCTGAAATCCAACCACCTGTGAGGAGCAATGGCCAAATAAATGCCACGATGTAAGAATAAGGAAGTGGCTAGTAAGCTTTAGACAAACACTTCTCAGATCTGAAACACTTTTTATCTATTAGAACGCTGCGTCTGAACACCAATTATGAAGAAAACGTTGTCAGGAACAGAAATGGGGATTAAACTGTATATAAAAACTAGTGGTCACAAGTCGATGTCCTTTTGCAAAAGTGAAGCTGCAAGTTCTTTGACGTGGTTCTGGAAACCCCGCTGTGTCTTTGGGCCATTCTGAAAACAATCTGTCACTGCCTACGTCCATTTTTATATACACTGTAACACGGTTGCTAATGTATGGGCATTAGAACCCAGAGAGCAAACTGACTCCAGACTGATTTAATCCAACATGTGGGAAATGATCAACAAAGTGCATCCACAGAGGAGAGATTTCTAGTTGTGTGGTTGTTTGATTCATGGACATCAGACTGAATCTAGTTGTGTGGTTGTTTGATTCATGGGACGTTGGACATCAGACTGAGACCTTTATTTGGTCTAAACCAGAAGACTTCCAGTCGAAATCCCATTTAAACCTGTAGTTTCATGTACTATTTGGATTCATGTCAGATTTGCTGCTGGTGGATTTTGCAAAACTTTTGCTACATTTTGAATTTTTTGACAGATCTTTGAAGGCCTATGTTCCTCGGGGACTCTTTCTAGGCTTCACATTTATCAGAGGTCGACAACCCGCGGCTCTCAAGCAGAATGTCCATTTCCTGCTGTGGACATGGACATTAGTCTACCTAGGACACCGCTCATCCTCTCTCACTCTCATATGTGCTGTCAGTTTGATTCTCCCGCTGCGTGACCTGTGAGTCCAGAGTCTCTCTGATGCAGAGGTGCTGAAACAGTTTACAACATGTCTTGAAGTTGTGAAAACTTTCCTGGAAAGCAAATGTCTCACCTCCTGCAAACTCTGTTTTTTTGGGGATTTTGATCTTGCGCCTGACTTTTTGAACTGACACATCTAATGATGAGGGCTGCCGAACTCTGCACAAGAACTACAAGTATTCTGACCAGAATATGTCCTGGATGAGGTCAATGATTATAATCAATATGGTCTCCTGCAGGACAGAAAGACCTGTTCCAGGGTCCAGTCTGAAGTCAGTGTGCTTCCTGGGAACTGTTTGGCATTTCTTATTTTAATTGAATGAGTTAGTGAGGTGTTGTGGTAAAAGTAGTCACTGACAACATGAACCGATGTCACCTGGTGTAGTGACACAGAACTGTTTTCAGAATTAGGAGCCTGGTAAGAAATCCTGAACACCACACAAACATTCTTATACATGATGTTACCAGTCAGTGCACGGAGGAAATTTTTACAAGAAAAGTCAGTTGAAAGGAGGACATGCAGAAAAGGTTATACTGCAGAAACCAAAGTCACAAATACATGGCATGCATCCCAGCCTGTCAGGTCCATGAGGGCATTTCAGGACATTTTCAGGCCTGTTTTAGGTCAGAACAAGGAGTGATAAAATATTATATGGTTAAAACATAAACAGTAGAGGGTGTAAATCAAATTTACGGATTTTTTTTTTCTTGTAGAACACAAGTGACGTAACAGTGTAGTTTGGTCCTGGGCTCTGAGCTCAAACATCTAATTCCCAGATGTGTCAAAATGTGGGATTAGACCAGTTAACAACGTTAAAAAGAGAGAAAAATAAAGAAAAAACTCAGCTGCACGTTCTTTGAAGATTCACTGTGCAACAGAACAAGCGTAAATGTACATGTACATTCTCTTTGAAACATCTAAAGTCGAGCTGCTTACATTATATTTTCAAAATAGAAAAAAGAAAATGCAGCAACAACATACGTATACACAGCTAATATTGAAAAATCCTTCCTTTCTGGCGTTAGCCTGTCTTTTGCGAAGCTTGCTTTGAGCGACCGAACAATCGACGCTGCCATAGCTTTTTATTTTTTTTTAAACTTGAACTTCAGCATAGAAGACACTGTTGTAAACAATACATGCTTTTGTAAGTTGTAATCATCAGTATATTCGACGTAAACTTTCTCTATGTTTTTTGCCCTTTAGTCGTACAGCAGGTTCATTTCCAGCCACCTGATGGCTTCAAAAACACTGCTAGCAGTTATTTATTTATTTATTTTTAACCTGGGAACTCATTTTTTCAGAGTGTAAACAATGAGCTGCACATAACACCATAGAGCTGCCGGATCTTGAAGTGCCATGTTATCCCTTTCATTTTTTTGCAGCCCAACAGATATGGTCATCCAGTGAATCTGCTTTGAGTTAAAGGTAAAAGCCGGTGAAGCAAGGCCGTGTGTTTTTACAAGTGTTACCACTAGGGCTGTCGAGCCAGACGAATCACTGCTGCGGTGATTTAGACAGCGTTTGATCAAGCTGCAAAGACAACGGATGCTAATGCAACCAAGCGTTTGTAGAATTTATCAAAGACATCTCATTTAACACACTGGTGCAAAGACAATCCAGTTATTATTATTATTCCAATATAAGAGATATGAACTCTTCTCTTCACATGGACATGGAAGTTCGGTCACCTGATCAGGGCATGCGTAGACATGCATTAAGTGTTTTTACATAATGTGTAATTCTACCACCCTTGAAATTCAACCATAACAGGTAACATTTTCTCATTTTATCCACTAGTGTTGTTGCTCTCAACAAAATGGTGAAGTCCAGGGCATTGTTGCGCTAGCTAGCTAAGAGCTTCAACTAGCTAAGCCTTTTAGCTAACCAAGTATGTCAGCTAGCTAAGCATTTCAGCTAGTCAAGCACTCGACTGTCTTTGTTCCTACCACTGTGTTTGGTGTTATGAATCATGACGACAGCCCTAGTTTCCACCTCTGCTCTGGAAATATCAACAGTTTATCAAAATGATCAGGTGCTCTCACTTAGACACTTCATCTCCTGAATAAGCAGTCTAGTAGCAGTTGCTATTGGACGTCCTTATCCTTGTATACTTCGGTGGACTGCCTGTCCCAATCTGACTAAGTGATACTCTGTGCTAACAACACCCTGCATCACTGTTGGCCTCCAGACTGCCCTTGGGATAAAATGGTTCCTTTGAGTGTTCTGTCTGAAGATGTTTCTCTCACTTACACACAGACAGTCAACGCTTTAGCCTCAAAACCCATTAGACAGACTCTAACCTAATTGCCCCCCCACCACCACCACCCACATTTGCTTCGCTTGTAGCATTGACACACTCGTTTTCACAGACCAGGGCCGCTGGGCTTCAGGTCAACTGGGGCCAACAGAACATGTATCAAAATGAACTTAGCTAAAGTTAGCTAGTGGTATTAGGACAAGTTAAAGGGCTTCCAGGTGTGATGTTACTGCAATCTTCAGTATTCCTAGGTTTCTGAGCTTAACCATTTACCTAAATAACATTTGTTTTTGTCAAAGTGTTTCTGTTATGATCCAGTCGTGGCTAAGGACGAGATTTAAACCCCGTTACTCAACAACCTACATTCTTCATAAGAACCCGACCTAATAGACAGTCAAAAGTTTGGTCGGTAAACTTATGTTTAACCTTTGTTTATTTCTGTAAGAAAGCTATTATCCCATTTAATATGGAATCAGAAAAGGCTGAAAGTTTAGTTTGTACAGATCAGAGGTTTGTTTGATTCAGAGACCAAAGTAAAGAAGTCCAGTTTCTACTGCTCCAAAACAAAGGTTCCCATTTGATAGGTTGTGACCCAGGAGTGGGTCATATCACTATACAGTATGTGGTGGGTTGATTTAGCATGAAGAGTAATGTTGGCACAGTTAAGATGCTAGTGGACTGTTTCAAATTGTAACTAGATTTGGAGAGAATTCTGAGTTCCCTTTCCTTCTTTTCTTTTCAAAAGGAAACAAAGGACAAATGATTTAAATACCCTTTCCTTCTTTTCTTTTCAAAAGGACAAATGATTCAAATGTCAAATCTAGTGCAAAATGATCAAATATGGTTGTGTTCATTTGCTCTATTACACGTGTACTATTAGCCATTAACTGTGCTGCATCTGGAATTGTTGAAGATCTTCAGTGGTAGCTTGATGCTCCTTCATGTAGCATTAGCAAAAATGTGTAGTTGCTAATGGTTTACAAGAAGTGCCTGTGTGAAAAGACTAGAGAAAATCTGAATAAAAAGAATCTGTTCAATTCAACACTAAAATTCAAGCATTGACACAAAATAAAAACCTTCCTTGAATAAAGTAAAATAAACCTGCAGCTTTTATCTTAAAGAGTGTTTGGGGGGTGTTTTTAGCTGAGCCCTGTTACAGAGGAGATGTCACAAGTGGTTACGGCCAACAAAAGCTAAAATCCAGAGAGAAAAGGTTTGATACAGGAGTTAGGAAAAAATGGTCCTGAAGAACGTGGGACTCAACAGATCTAGGGTCTTGGTTTAGTCATTTAAAGAACCGGGTAATTCGTTGGTCAATGTGTGCCAGCGCTCTATTTTCTTGTCCTTGTTTTTTAGGCAATCGAACCAGTGTTTGAGCCTCTCTCCATTTGCATTGATGCCCAGAGATACACCGCCTGAAAAAGAGTCGGGGTAAAAAGACAATGAAATGCAGAGGTTGTTCAAATGTCAACGAGCTACAGAAGGGAAGCATTCTCACCGATGAAGTCGTTGGACTTTCCAATGTCATAGTCCCAAACAGTCACCTCCAAAGTCTTTTTGGTGAGATCTGCATATTTGATGTCATAACAGAACTCCTGTAGAGAACAGAAAAGAAGCAAAATCAAGTCGACGACTAGTAAAGTGACAGAGTGAGGCGGCTGTTCCAAGAGCTCGGCCACCTTGCGTCGGCGTCTGTAAGCGTGCTCGTATCTCAAATCTTTAATCGTATCTCAAAGCAAAAATTTGCTCGATGGCTTGCCTTTGTATGTCGGGACACTCGTATCTCACGGTTTTACTGTACTTATACCCTAAGCGATTCTGAAAACCCATTCGCCTTTGTACATATTTGCCAATACCCCACGAACAGTCATACTTCTACAAGGATGATTCCAAAAAAGCTGATTATTTTTTTTCAAAAGTTGTCGGATTTTAGTGAAGCTTGTTATGTTGCACCTCTCAGGTGTCTCCAGCAGCTTTGACACGTTTTACCATTATTTTATGTATCAAGACAGATAACATGGAGTGTTATGTTTTCTTGTCTCACTGCAGTGATCAGAGTTTTCTTTTTATCACTGTCACACTTCGAGTGTGTTGATGCTAGCACAGAGCTACCAAGTTTAACGCAGGCTACAGCAGTCAAGTGGTGCCGCCAGTCCACAATGGACCAGAGTCTATAGGGTCTGGACCTACTACATGTCCCTGCACCTGGTCTACTCAACCAATCTACTGAACAACCTTTGTAGTTCCTGGACATAAAGGAAGTCAACACCTCCTGTGTTGTACAGGAGGATTAACAAGCAATTGAGAAAGTTGAAAAAACTAAATGGGAAAAAAAATGTTGGAGAAAATGTCATCCTGCTGGTGTGTGTGTGTATGAGTAACAACACCCAATGATTTACAGACATATTCTTCTGAGCCCAGTTTTGGTTTCCATCTTCAAAAACAACCGACTGCCAAGTCCTCAAGGAGCCAGGAATGCATTTCTGATTTGAACTGCATTTATAGTCAATCACTTCACTTATGAAGCAGACGTTCAGCTGTGAGCTCCAGCTGCTCTGCTGTATAAAAGAACCGCTTCAGAAGGGTCTTAGTGAACAGTGCGAAGAAGTTGATTATTATTATTCAGACGTGTCAGCGTGCAGCAATTACACCTGTTTGTCACCACGAACCCCGACTGCCGTGTGTTGTCACGGGAATAATATTGACTGCTGATGAGTCGGGGGCCAAACAGTAACTTCAGTTAAAGAGTCAAACTCTTTTTTTTTTTTTTAAGAACCTATTAAATATTTATGACTGTTCATGAGTCTGGTAATTATGTGGGTGTGTCAGCCAGAGCAATGGGAATTTCTATGACAAATTATGGATGAGTGAAGCTTTAAAGTGACAGTAAAGGGTTTCTTTGATTGGCTGGTTGTACTTGCAGCAAAGACAAGCAAGTGTGTTGTCTCAGAGAATAACTTCCATTCAGGGCCATCGAAGTTTTGTCACCTAGTTTCTTTTGACACTGTATTTTTTGGATGGAATCCGACTGACCTATCAAATTCATCAAAACTATTCATTTAAAAATAAATTTTGAATAGCTCCATAAATTGCATAAGATTGTTATCATACCTATCATATCATTTTTATTTATATGATAAAATATTCAACAAACATTTTTTTCACACTCTTGACTTTGATTGTTCACCAAAATATATTTTTTGTTGTTGTTATTGTGAAACACACTCGTCTCCCAGTAACCTTCACTCAGAATGACATTGTTTTCCAAGCCCAGTAACCTTCACTCAGAATGACATTTTCCAAACAGAAAAGAAGAATAAAGTCAGGGAAAAGAAACACAGTCATGCTTCACCTCGTTGAACTCAGGGTTGAGAGTCTTCTTCTTCACGGCCGTCTTGTGCTTTGACTTTTTGTTCTCGTCTGGCTTCAGGTACCTGCAGAAGGAGGAAGAGGAGGAAGATGAACTGATTTTGCAGACCTGACAAAGCACGTACTGTCGTTGTAGTTGTCAGCTTCACTTTGGAAAAGCTACACATTTTCTCAGCTGCTATTCTATTCTGTCCTCCAGAGGGTGCTGTGGTCCTGACCTACACTACCCCGACTGACGCCTTTAATTCCACAGGCATTACATACTGTACATTACTGCAAAGACTGTTACCACTGGTACTAAACACATGTGAATAAAAACAAATCCTCAAAGAGAACTAAAAACACAATCATTTAAAAAGTAAGTTGCTCCGTTTTAAAGGACAGTTATGTAATTAATGAGATACTAATATTATATAATAACTAATATCGTTTGAGAATCTGTTGCTACAGACACAATAAAAATGTTAACACAATTATAGTTCTTCAATACTCATGAAATACCCAGTATTTAATAACATATTATTGTATGTATAAATGAACTAAATTAGTATTTCTGTATGTAAAATTTTAAAATATTTCATGTTTAAAGTATAAATAACGACTGGACTGGACGAGCGTGAAATGTGTTGATCTAGAAAGTTCTCAGTACTACTGTATAGGTCTGGTGCTTTGATAATGACTTGAGGTATGTCTCCTCACGGCAGCACCGTGTCAGCAGGACCTCCACTGGCCTTCTACATTATTAAGCAGCAGCTACAGATAGAAATCTCGTCAGTGCTGTGTCTTTTAATCACTTTGTTGATGTGTACATCTAGAGCGGCCGCTGAGCGTATGCTGCCAAACATGTGGCACAGAAACAAAGAGCTGACAGTGTTTTGACAGATGACTGACTGCTGAGGTGTTGTTGCTCCTGCAGGTCACTGAGCTGTTCCAGTAAACAGTCAGCGGTGGGAACAGATTGTCAGAGCCAGTGAACAGTATGTGTTAATGAACCTGTTTTCTCAGGATTCTGACTCTGCCTTCATACATGATGCAGTGTGTTCCTGTAACAGGTCTTGGTGCTGGATGTTGTTCCTCAAGTTTTAGGCAATAAAACTTATGTTCAGGAGCCATGTTTCACTTCACACTAGTTTCTTTTCTTTCTTTTTTTTTTTTTACCTCTCCTGGTACGTGCTCACTGGCTCCACACTGGCTTCAATTTCCCCAGGCGTCACACACTTTTAAGGAGAGGCTAAGTGGGTTATTGCTCACAAACTCAGCCCGAGGGGGCAGTGGGCTCTGACAAGGTTGTTGATGAGGAAATTGTAGCGAACCTAATTGTTGCAATGGGACGACTGACCCCCAGGCACAACAAGCTAGGAGTTAAAAGTCAGGATGCAAATGAACACTGCCGTGTACAGCAATTTATATCGATGCTGTTAAAATGCAGCCGTTGACATTCTTAAAGGTACAATACACAATATTCAGAAAATAAATATAGTTAGGGTCAGCAAAAAAAATCTGACACAAGATGACTGACTACTGATAAAGATGTACATTTAGTAGTTGCTCATTGTGAATTGTATTGTCTTGCCCTTTCAATTTCCATTTAAGGGGCTATTATAGAACTCCTGAAATATATGTTGGTTACAAACCAAACAAGAGCTCAAAGAGAGTTTTGTACGTTTCTTAAGTTTTTTATATCCTTGACTTTTTTTACTCTGTGTGAAAGCTGGTCCTGTTTAGTTGAACACAACACGAAGAAAAAACAAAACCCAAAAACCTTCAAAAGCTCTGAGTCTCTCTTATTTTTTGTTTTTATAGACATATGCTGCCACCTATGAGAAATGACAAGTATTTCATTGCCACTAAATCAAAGGGGAGTTCCTTAAACCTAATGGAGACCGCATTTTGTTCATAGTAAGAACTTCTTGTCCACAAATGTTTGCAGAAGCAGGTTTTTAAAAAACACTTGTGACCGTCATTACCAACTGCACGTGACATCATGAATTCTTCTTCTACCAATGTGTGAATGTGTGGCTTTCACAGCACACTTGGATTTCCCAGATGCCCCTGTCATTAGGACACAATAGAGCCAATTATCGTCGGCGGTGACAGCTGTGTCTTGACGGCCAGAACATCAGCAGCTCTGTGACCGAGACCCAGCCATGTCTATGATGGAGTTAATGTTTCCTGATTCCTCCTCTAACAGAGTTGATCTATTATCTGCCTGACAGCGCCTCCACCTTCAGGAGGATTGTGCCAACCTTAAACCATCAGAAAGCTGCTGTCAGTCCTCCTCCTGCAGGAACGTTGTGCTTTTGTTCTCGCTGCGTGCGCAGCACAGACGGAAAATTAATTGCACTTTTATTGCTCAGACAGATGAAAGACTCTGGGAAACGCTCAGGTGTGATAAATAGCGCTCTCCTTCAGACTGCAGCCCCGCGGTCGGCCTCTGGTGCTGCCTGTGCTGCCTGTTTCATGCAGCTGATAATCGCTGTTAGTCTGCTTCTACCTCGGCTGAAACGTCAGTGCTGCCTGCTAATCTGTTTTAACTATGTTAAAGTGTGTATGTGTGTGTCCCTCTCACCCACGTCCTCCCACCTCCACCTCCACTAAAACACCAGTAATTGTTCTGGACATCCTGCCTTTTGAGTGAGAGGAAAAAGCAAGAACTGAGTGGATATGACACCTAGAGTCCAGAATATTAAAAGTATGTGATTTATGGTCTCTCACTTTTCATCAAAAAATATGAATATCCCCCTGATACAAGCACTAAAGAGTTTTATGGTTCCTCTAGCCTGAAGTTGTGTCTGGAGGTTGGGGATTGTTATTGGTGTAACTCATTAAAATGACAGAGAAATTATCCTGTTCACTTTTCACGCTGCCGCCTCTGAAACAGTCCAGTCGTCCTCTACTCTGTCACTGACACAGCAACTACTGCAATAGAAAAGCCGACTTGTATTTCAGTGACTCGTCATTTCTACAGGTGATGGTCGGCGAGTGCCTGTGTGTGCCACTGACGTTTTCACGTAGGGGTCGGAGAAGCCGTTGGCATCCATGGCGGCGAGGTGAGCGCATCGTATGATGCCGACCACCAGGCAGGACTTCTGGGTGTTGTACTTCAGAGAGATCATGATGCGACCTCGCTCCTCCAGTGATTTCTCCTCTGTTTTGTTGACCTGCAGCGACAGAGACGACAAAAAGTTTAGGGATCCCAACTTTGACTTCCTGTTTTGAATCTGTGTGATTAAAAGTTTGCAGCTGCCACATCAGTCGCCTCCTTTTACAGTGGCGTGTCTGGAAAATAAGCACTGATTGGCTGATTAATGTCTGCTGCTCTGTAGATGGCGACTTAATAGCCTCATCAAAACTAATTCCTGAGACGAGATAAACAGCTGATATGACACATGACCTGTGTGTCAGAAGTGTGTGTGTCACAGAAATGTGTGTTCTATGTCCCACACAAAATTACAGATCATCAGCAGTGAACTCTTACTGCAGTAAACTCCAGGTCCCGATGCAGGAAACTTTCAACCCATTTAGCTTCAGAGCTTTAAGCCGACACGATTACGTTAGCTAAAATTTAATGGTGATTTTTTTTACATTGTCCTTCATGTAGGTAGTATAAATACTATGTACTAACTTACTACTTACTTACTACTAGTGAGACCCATAAACTCTCACTTCCTTTTACTTGGGACAATAGGTAAAAGAATACAGTGTCACTTTAAATATTGGATGTTGAAATACAAAATACGTTAGCGTAGTTAGCATAAAGTCAGTGCTTCTAATTTATTTATTAGTTACAGAAAATACTCCACTGCTTGACTGGCTTACTGTTGCTACATTGTCATATTGTAGTTTATAGATTGGAAATCATTTAAAGCTGTTGCGCATGTGAAGTATTACTACATTATCATAAGGTTACAGCACAGAATATGACATGATTTAAACATTAGCTGTTACTGCATTAATGTGATAATATATTGATTTCATTAGTTTTTTTATCATTAGATTTCATACTTATGAAATATCTGTTTTATTTACAACTACATCCAGTCATTGTTATATAATGATGATGTACTTGAACATGTCTATTATGTAAATACATTATAATGTGAGTATTTGGTACCTACTTCCATACATGGCTGTTTTTACAGTTTTAGAAAAAATCACACCCATAGTTACTACATTTAGAAACTTAAAATATCTGCAGTACTAGAGAGTCGCGTTCAATGTGGTACTACAGGAGTACTCTGTGTTACTGTGTTTCTATTATAATGAATAGCACTCATTATTTTAAGTTCTACTGAACGCCCTTTACTGTGTTACACTTGTAGAACAATCAATACATTTTTACAGACACACACACACACACACAAACAACTCCTCAATGGATACTGGAAAACTAGCTCTATTTTAACTGCAGGATGAACAAAGTACAAGCTGCACACACACACACACACACACACACACACACAGACTGAAAACAATACAAATGCTGCTGCCTCAGCTGGTAACCAGGCAAAGGAAAATAGATTTCTTTTCTTTCCTTTCAGCAGTTGCAGAACGATTCACGGACTCACGCCGACACACTCGTCATTACATGCGTTCTTCTCTTTCTTCTTCTATTTCGACTTCTGCTGCACACAAATAGACCCGAGCTTTCATTCCACAGAGGCAGGTCACTGCAGCCAAGGATGGACTTCATGATTCGTTTAAAACCGCAGCAAAAAAATAAGGATGGACTTCATGATTCGTTTAAAAACCACAGCAAAAAAAATATAAAAATCTTCACATACAGTAAACCTGTCTGTATCACTGCCATCTCTTTACACCGTCGGCTCCACTGAGCTGAGCTGGGCTTTTCATAAGTCAAAGGAAAGGAGGTCCACGTGAGGAGAAATCTGTACATCTGAATTATTTGAATTAAACCACGGCCGTACCTCTAGTACTGTACTTTTTGTTTGTGTACTTGCTTACACCGAGTACCATCACTGATACTTCTTTAGACTGACTTTCAATAAATACGCAACGTTGTTTGCAGCAGACTCCACATCAGCTTATCATGAAATCAGACATTTTTCCCACTCATACTGTACCTTGAGTGACATTATCTCCCTGTCTCCTCTGTGCAGAGATTTTCTCTTTAGAGAAATAAAAAAAACCCATTATATACAAAGTTATTGCACAGCTGCAGCTCAGACCTGGCAGTTATTTCATTTTTTGCTTTCCTTTCACTCTCTTATTGTATTCTATTCTGTGCTATGCCCAGTGACTCAGAAATGCAATTTAGCTGCAACACTTCCACAGTCGCTTTTTTTCCCCCTTCCACCAGAATTGGCATTTCCCATAGCTCAGCATTTATACACACATTATAGAACCACACGTATCAGCAGAGCCAACGCACAGGGAGGATTAATAACTTCCAGCTTATCAAGGTCTGCTCCCCAGAAAGTACACGAGCCAGGGAGGATGAAGGCGTAAAGGTTGTGAGTTCACACAGTTTGGTTGGTGCTTTTTGGGGGGAAATTCAGTCGTTACGGCTCACAGCTACCTGCACTTTGTGGCTGAGTTAAATTTAAAGCTGTATTGGGCCCAATAGCCACAAAAGCAGCTGACTGTAGTGTCATCTGTAGGTCGTAAAAGTCTAATGTTTTGGATATTGGCTCTCTGTCTGTATCCCCTCAGGCCCAGAAGCTTTGACTGCAATCAAATCCGATTTCACTTTTCTATGAATTGCTACAAAAAACATACAGTATGTGTAATACTTGTGTGATGACTAGGAAACCAATCTCCTGATTTACCAGTCGTTCTTTGTTGCCACCCTCATCATCTTAACCTGCATATATGTGAAACTGAAATGAGTTTTCCAGCTTTGGAAGAAGCCCCTGAAGGAGCCTGTTACTGGATACTAGCATCTGGTGGAGTTGCCCCCTCCAACTTGGGTATTATTTCAGACAAGCATATCTGGAGGGAGACCCAGAAGAGTAGACCAAGATGAAGGAGACTTGGTCCAGACGCCGCAGCAAGGTCAGGTTCTCGGCACCGACGAAGAATTTTCATACAGAGATGATTCATTACACGGGTGAGTTCCAGGACTTGTTTGTCACTGGGCTCTAAACCCAGACTGGCAGAGGACACTGGGTCATATACTGTATCTTATTTCAGTATTCTTGAAAAAAGAATTCTGTATTTTAGAGCATTGGCCTTCAAAAGGATTGGCCTTCAATTCTGAAATCTCCCGTGATTGGCCAAAATCATTAATAACAATCCAAGGCACAGAAACATACATGAACATACAGACACCCGTGTAAACGTCCTCTATTTATTGTTTTAAACCAGAACAGAAAAAAACCCATTATATACAAAGTTATTGCACAGCTGCAGCTCAGACCTGGCAGTTATTTCATTTTTTGCTTTCCTTTCACTCTCTTATTGTATTCTATTCTGTGCTATGCCCAGTGACTCAGAAATGCAATTTAGCTGCAACACTTCCACAGTCGCTTTTTTCCCCCCTTCCACCAGAATTGGCATTTCCCATAGCTCAGCATTTATACACACATTATAGAACCACACGTATCAGCAGAGCCAACGCACAGGGAGGATTAATAACTTCCAGCTTATCAAGGTCTGCTCCCCAGAAAGTACACGAGCCAGGGAGGATGAAGGCGTAAAGGTTGTGAGTTCACACAGTTTGGTTGGTGCTTTTTGGGGGGAAATTCAGTCGTTACGGCTCACAGCTACCTGCACTTTGTGGCTGAGTTAAATTTAAAGCTGTATTGGGCCCAATAGCCACAAAAGCAGCTGACTGTAGTGTCATCTGTAGGTCGTAAAAGTCTAATGTTTTGGATATTGGCTCTCTGTCTGTATCCCCTCAGGCCCAGAAGCTTTGACTGCAATCAAATCCGATTTCACTTTTCTATGAATTGCTACAAAAAACATACAGTATGTGTAATACTTGTGTGATGACTAGGAAACCAATCTCCTGATTTACCAGTCGTTCTTTGTTGCCACCCTCATCATCTTAACCTGCATATATGTGAAACTGAAATGAGTTTTCCAGCTTTGGAAGAAGCCCCTGAAGGAGCCTGTTACTGGATACTAGCATCTGGTGGAGTTGCCCCCTCCTACTTGGGGATTATTTCAGACAAGCATATCTGGAGGGAGACCCAGAAGAGTAGACCAAGATGAAGGAGACTTGGTCCAGACGCCGCAGCAAGGTCAGGTTCTCGGCACCGACGAAGAATTTTCATACAGAGATGATTCATTACACGGGTGAGTTCCAGGACTTGTTTGTCACTGTGCTCTAAACCCAGACTGGCAGAGGACACTGGGTCATATACTGTATCTTATTTCAATATACTTGAAAAAAGAATTCTGTATTTTAGAGCATTGGCCTTCAAAAGGATTGGCCTTCAATTCTGAAATCTCCCGTGATTGGCCAAAATCATTAATAACAATCCAAGGCACAGAAACATACATGAACATACAGACACCCGTGTAAACGTCCTCTATTTATTGTTTTAAACCAGAACAGGTTCACGTGTCTTTGTGTCTGTGAGTATGGCGGCGTTCATTTCCAAGTTGCTCAGCATTCGGAAACAAGAAAATAATGAAAAGACAAAGAGGAACTGTCAGGAAAATGGGCTGTGCAGATTTGTCTTCTCCGCTGTGCTCAACAGTCGGTCCTACAGTGTCCACAGCAGGGCGCTAATCAGATATCTCCAGTGAAATGACTCTCTCTTCATGAATCACAGATGGCTTTTGTGTGACGTCTCACAGGACTTGTGGGTTCGTTTTCCATTTCATCTGGCGTGCCAGAGTGTCTCAGACACCGCCGCCTCACTTTTACTGTCAGATCAATTTAGACCTGTCTCTTCTCAGAGTGTTTGTTCATGTTTAGGACAAGCCCTCCTTGTCTACATCTTTCTGTTTCCTTTAACAGGGTGCACTCTGGGAAATCCGTGACAAAGCCAGAGGCTGACAGGAATACAAGAGCAACTTCAGACAGGGAGGATGTGTGAATCTCAGGCTGTCTGGATGGAATCAAGGTCGACGGACCAGTCCACAAGTCCAGACGCTTTTGGCACTCACAAACTTCGAGATGGTAGGTGTCCAAACTTTTTAAAAAGGGAACAAATCTGAACTTCCAGGAGTCAAAGAACATTCCTGACGTCCAGTTGACACAACAGATTCAAATCATCTCCCAGAATTCCTCCGTCTTACCTACTCCCCTGTTCTGAACCTTCCTAACCTGTTCATCGTGGTCACTCCCAAGAATAATCTCAATACTTTTAACTCTGCCCACTACTGGATGGACTGAACTCGCACCCTGTTGGTTTCACATATGACTGATACCATACACATTTCTGTGCTTATAATTACTGATTTTTATTGTCTCCTAAAATTCACAATAATCCAGGTTGGGATACGACTCATATGAGATTCAATGTGAGACCATTGATTCTCGAAACATCACGTATAGATTTTTTTCAAATTGTTTTTGTTCTGCAACTGAACCACTACTGTAGGTCCTTACCCACTTCTCATCTTTTGAGCCAAACATCGACTGAGTTTTTGTCACCGCCTCCTAGGACAACGTTAAAAATGTAATATCTCTGGAATGACTGAGCAACGTGAACTGGTGAAAGCCAAATTCACCTTCATCCAGGGATATTACCAGACCGTGTTCTTAGTATTAGCTGTGTTTGCCCTGGAGCAGAGTAATACCTGGAACTCAGTCAATATCACTCTGAGGAGTACTGTGCTGGGCCACTGTGTGGTCAGTGTGTGTAGCTAAGCAGAAAGGGAAGAAGCTGATGCCTATCTCACGTGGTTATGAAGCTGTGTATCCACAGCCACGCTCGGAGCGTTACATCAGAGGCGTTCGCGTCTACTCTGCACTCAATCCAATTAATGGACATCCTCCGAGCCAATCTTAGTTGTGTTTTCCACCAGGTGCTGGTAAAATTAGCTGGACAACGTAGAGCAAACAACACTGAGCTGTGGCCTGTTTGATCCTGGAACTGGATTTGTGTTCAAAACAGGAAATAGAGTTTTATTAAAAGCAATCTATGAAAAGTGAATATAACAAAGAAAAACATGTTTTTTTTAAACAGGTGGCAATGTTTTAGTTCCAGATGGTTTCATTTGAGGAAGTACAACAGGTTCTGGGAATGGGTTCTGTCAACACTTCCTGTAGAAGATAGAAATACAGGAGCTGAGCTTGTTGATGTTGGTACATCAACCTCCATGTCTATGGGTGATTAACTACAGAAGGTCGTTCACCTTTAACTCATGGGTTCCCAAAGTGAGGGGCACAGGCCTCCAGGGGCCAAGGAACATTTTTAGGCAAAACAAATGAATTCTAATTTCAGTTCTTTCATTGTTTGTGCCACAGCTCGAAAAGTCACGGGGATTTGCAATTTTTCTTCCTGCAATTTTGAAAGAATATAAGTCGGACAAATAGAGCAAACACTAATTTAAATATATATGGCCAATCAGTTGAGTTGAGACACGCAAACTCATTCAGAAAGACCCTCAGTTAGAGGCTTGATGGGCCTCCTGCTGTAAGGCATGAGCTCTAACCACCTTGCCACCATGTGGCCCTTGATGTAAAGGAAATTCAATTAAATCCTTTAAAAGGAACCAAAACATTAGGTCCTGTGTTTGTTTCTATCCCACAGGACACTCTCTCATTTTAAACGAACCATAAACTCTCAGAACATTTGGAACTCATCCAACGCTCAGACATATATTTCCCTCAAGGAGAACAAACCAGAAATTGAAGGAAATACCAGATGAATGCTGATGATGTTCTGTTGCCTCTGAAAGAGTTGGGAACATGTATGGTGCCGACGTTTGATGATGTAATAAAATTCCTATATTGTGTTTACAGCATGTTCCTGTTGCTCCCATGTGGCTAAAACACATTTGGTCTGCAAACGGCTTTGTAATGGCTTCATGTGCAGCAGGAGGAATTTCATCTCCCATCTATCTGTGATGGACCTATCAAGGCGTGAGAAACACGCTGAAGAAAAGATTATGAGCAGAGGGATAGGAGCTCAGGGGTTTAGATTCATCACAGACACTTTTATTACATGTCAATAAAATATGTGTCTCTGGACCAACATCAACAACCTCCCTTTTTATTAGCATAACCTTTAGTTCGCTAATTCCTCACACTAATGATACTCCAGTTGCATGGCAGGGTCAGAAATCAACGGGGGAATTGGCCTTTACAATTTAAATGATGGCTGCTTTCAATGGCCCTCGTAAAATATAAAGCGTCAGCTGTCCAGACAGGCTTCTTCAGGAAACACAACAGCAGTGTCTTCTGCAATACGAAGAAATTATATTTGTCTTTTGAGTGTTGGATTCACAAATGGATGGGTGTTAGATCAAATGAAAAAAATCACTCAAATGTGGCCTAAAAGTCTACAAAAATAATTAAGAAACATCTAAAAACGTCAACATCATTCAGTACTTTATGAGGTGATGCTGTTGCATCTGTTGTGTTTCCACAGGGAAACATATTGTTTTTCAATAAAAACTTTGCTTTTAAATATTGTCTTGCTTATCCCAAAAACAAGCCTGAGGCGCCCCCTCCTCCCCTCCCCGCCCCCCCAAAAAGAAAACTAATTAAATCTGCCATTTTGTAAAATGGCCACAGTGTGGCTGACAATTCTGTAATCATCTGTCACAGTTAAAGCCTTTCATTGTCCAGCTGGACTGGTGGACATCCAGGGAAATACACAAATGTATTGCTCAGGGACAGTGGGGACAGTGGTCCAGGATTTTGCGCCAGATGATTGGCTGCAGGCGCTCACTTCCTGTGGTCTGATGCCAAGGCTGGGTCCACATCCAGAACGGAGGCTGGCAGACGTTCCCATCAGAGCAAAGGAAATTTGGTAAGTAGTCAGAACGTTGTTGAGAGGACACAGCTGCTCAGGCTCCTTGGGACACAAGTACAAACACTTCTCTCTGACTCAAAGATATTAAATATGGAGTCAATGGAAGCATAACTCGATGAACCTGAGGGTCTTTTTATGGGACTTCAAATATTTGAGTCCAGCTCTATCATTTCAATATTTTTCATCCGTTCACACTGTGGCTAATCAATTTTATTTTTCTGAAGTGACTTTAACTCTCTATAATACAGACTCTTCCTGGTATTATGGAAGAC